AGGACGCATTTGAGAAGATATGCGGATTAGTCGTTTTGCAACACCTGCTGTGGAGTTGCATCTCGTGCCAAGTTATCCGCTAAGGAACAATACAGTACGCCACGAAACCTGCACTTGCAAAGGTTAGTAACTGACCAGTCAGGTTGTAGGAGAAGACGGCCCTTTTCTGGTCGTGGTTTTCTTTGGACCAATCAGCTTCCAGAATCGCAGCGATTTCCTTTCCTTACTGTACTAACTCCGCCTAAATGCGGGGCATGGTAAGCGCGTAAATTACTGTACAGAAGAAACGGCTAACTAGAGTTTTGATAAGTTATTCAACTTTGCACATATTTCCACTGCAGAAACTCAAATACCAAGGAGCCTCAGCTGGCTTAGCTGCTAGCTCGCCATTTCACCAAGCAATCACAAATTCATATATTCAGACAAATCCGTCTTGCAAATGTTCGACATCGTCAGTCACTACAGCAGTTCTGAAATAAGCAAGTGGCAGTTGGGTGAAATCAAGATATTCAAGCACTTCATTCTCAGCGGTGGTTCAGCCGGTGAGGCTACGGGTTTAGTTTAAGATTATGATAAGAGAACATTTTACTGCTTGAATGGCATCTCCAAAGTAATTGTATTTTTCAAGATACAAAGAGAAAGGATCACTAAATAAGAGCCAAACTATTGGCATTACATGATATCAGTGCATCATCATCTTCACCAGCCATTTTTGACCCATTGAGGGATGAAGACCTCTCCAAAACTCTGGCAGAAACTTTGCTTTGCATCAATTTTGAACTGGTGAACCTCTTAAACACATCCTACCAGTGATCACGAGGCTCGTTGACTCTTTCTGGAATCCAGTGCAGCTTCTCTCGTTCAGCGATGGTCAGTTAATCTTGCAATTTGATTTGCTTATTGCCACTTTAAGTTAATCGCTCTTGCAATGACATCCCAGCTGCCGTTTTTGCCTATCCATTCATTTGTACCATTCAATACGTTGGTCACTGCTTCACCTCCGGACACCACCTGTTTCAACAAAATTCCTTCTTTTCAAGGAACTCTTCCTCGTTCAGCCTGTTTCATTGCATATCGCATTCTACCAGCAAGATACCAATCTCTTTAATTTCATTTGCGCTTTCAATTTCCTCATCATCAGCTACGGTGCTGCTGTTTTCACCTCTGTATAATATTTTACCAAGGTCTTCAACTCTCTTTAGAATTTCTTCTCCGTCCCTGATTACAATTCCGCCTGTAGCTTTAAGAGCTAAAATTCACCGTTTCCTGATTGTCGACCGTTGATTCAATTTCTTTATGCTTCGATTGCTGTCAAAAGTTTCTTCTACTAAGTTCGACGTATTCGATCTTTGAATTCTCATCTCTGCTGTCTTCATTTCTTCGGGAGCTGTTTCGTTTGCTTTGTGAAGTTTTGGCTGACCTTCATGAGCCTTACTCCGGCGATGCTTTCCGTCGTTTCTGTGGTTGTTGTTCTTATATCCCGGTACATTACGTTGATGTCCACCGCTTCTCCTACTTCTCGTTGCTTTTCTCATGCCAATTAATTGATTTGAGTTGAAATAACGGGAGGCGGGAGGCTTGCTCTAGTGCGTTTTTGACTTTAGCAAATTTGCGTCTTTTCGAAGCTGAACCCACGGGCACTTTGCATCTAATGAGCCTGTTATTGCTTTCTTGATCTGCTGAAGACCGCAACGTCCTGAGCTGTGTTACTAGCGACATTGAGGATAGAAGTGATTTCTTTCTTGACGTTGTTTGAGACTTTCTATTTTCATCATTTGCTATGCTTATCTTTTCCCGTTTTCGATCTGATTTTGGAAATGATGAATTTGTAAATATTTTTAATACGTTGTCGCATTTCTTACACTTCTTCACAGCAGTCTTCCATCTCTTTATCAGGATGATGTGATGTCATCGTATGCACTTAGATGATGGTAAGAAGAGCAAAATAATCACGGTTTTGACTATTCAGACGGAATATGATAAAAAAACAAGAAAATAACAAAAGTTTGAGCAAGAAACCATAATAATACGTAAACAACGTACTGTGTTTCAGTAAATATAATAATGATGCCGGATTGAAACGGCGAATGCACAGTGTTAGTGAGACTTATCAGAGATCAGATGGCACGGGCATAATTTTACAAGATCCAGCGTCGGTATTACTACAACACCATGCTGTGCCCATTGTTCACAGGTCATAGACTTATGATCCGTTTTTTGCGTTAAACAAAGCAAATGGGAGCGGGGGGGGGGGTGAATTTATAGTTCAACAGGGATTTATGAATTCAAATTAAGCTATGCTTCTACACATTTATGGTCATGTTATCGCGATAGTTCAACGACTTTGTCATTTCAGCTGGCCATCCAAATGAAATCCCCAATCTGATTCCGTGCGGCGACAATCACCCTTGTCCTTCCGGTCATGAATGCAGGAACGGATTTTGTTGCGAGGCAACGATGCAATCGCCTCTTTGTCCTGACGGCTCGTTGCCAGGCCCAGTGTGCTATGGAGTAGGACAGGGTAACTGCGTGACTGGAAGCCTCTGCGTGAACGGTAGATGCTGTGCTACGCAATCTTTGCCCACTTGTCCTGACTACAGCCGCTCCGTTGCTACCTGCAGAAGCAGTGATACCTGTCCGGAGGGTTACAGTTGTGAGAACGGCGGCTGCTGCCGCCTTCCTCAGTGCCCAAATGATAAACGTTCATATAGGTTTTGCCGGAGCTATGCCGACTGTGCCTCGGGCTTTTACTGCAGCATCGCTGGAGGTTGTTGCTCCTTGCCACTTTGTCCACAAGGACAGTTGGCCAGTTCCTTTTGCAGGACGCAAAATGAATGCGGCGCTGGAAAGCAGTGTACAAATTCAGGCTGCTGCCCCGCTGACCCGCTACCGGTGTGCCCTACTGGATGGCAAACTACATATCCGTGCAGCGAGATGGGAACCTGTCCTCAACGGCATCACTGCTATACAGATAACTCAGGCAAAAAAGGCTGTTGTCCACTCCCTATGTGCCGCGACGGTCAGCAGTCTTATACAACTTGCGATGCTCTACGTCGGTGCCCGCAAGGATATGGCTGTGAAAACAACGTTTGTTGCAAACTGCCGACGTGTCCAAGCGGGAAGATGGCACTGGAGTTCTGTAACTTACAGCTGGGTTGTCCCCCGTGGCAAGTGTGTTATAACGGAGGCTGTTGTGATAAAATTAGCACCATGCCGAAGCTGTGTCCTGAAGGATCTGTTCCGGAAGCAGCATGCAGTCACGATCAGCAATGCAAATCGTCGCAGATCTGTTACGAAGGCGGGTGCTGCCCGATGACGACGTTGTTCTGTCCAAAGAATTGGACGATGGTCGGCAGTTGCGCCGGCGGAAGAACGTGTCCCAGAGGCCAGTGCATCAACGGAGTCTGTTGCGAGTTTCAAGCGAACGCAGGAGGGGCGTTGGGCAAGTGTGTCAGTGGCAATTGCCCCCTCGGCTACGAATGCATCGGCAATTTGTGCTACCCGAGAAGAGGAAGTGCCACGTCACCGTGTCCCCCGCTGACCACGGCGCCTATCTGCTCGTGCGCGTCACAGCAGGCTTGTCCTCAGGAGTCATTCTGCAGCAAGGGCGTCTGCTGCGCAACGCGTAAGTATAGGTCTGGACGAGGAGGTTATTGCTCTAGCGAACGCTTTGCAGAAAAATCGCCTTACTACTCGTCGACCAAACCAGGGAACGCGTGCTTCTCCGGAAGCCAGTGCTCTGGGTACCCTTCGTACGCCAGCTGCAACGAACAGCGCTGCACGTGCATCAACGGGGGACGCTCGAACGGCTTCGTGTGCACGAATCTCGACCAGTACTTAACGAAGGCACCGATGTGCGATAACTTCGGCACGTTGTGCCAAAACTACCGACGAAGGAAGCCGAGGAAGCGTTCGAGTGACGAGGTCGATGATAAGCCAATGGTCAACGACACGGTCCTGTTCTGGACATCGCTGGTGGACACCAACTGCTCGACGGACTACGACTGCACTCCCGACACGACATGCATTCGAAACCAGCCAAACGTGCACGGATGCTTCAAACGTAGTTGACGACAGTAGTCTCCTGGCCCCTTCCACTACTCCTGTTGTCTCTTTCAGTGCTTGCCGTGGATATGGCCGGTTGCACGTACGATCAGCAGTGCTCGGTGGCAACCCCAGCGTCGCACTGTAGCAGCAAAGGCATATGCGTGTGCGACAATGGTCTGTATAAACACAATGGCGAATGCTGTAAGGCAGAAAAATACCTCATATCTTAATAATGCGATACTTCATCATGTGAATTTTCAGTGAACGTCTGTCCCGCTGGAACGAAGCCTAACGACGACGAATGTCTGACATGACATGGCTGGACCGAAGCGATGTGACACGACGATTTTGAGTGTATGATTTGAGTTTCTTCAAAACTTGAACGTGCGATGTTTAGACTTTTAAGGAGTGTACAATGCCGCAAGCATGCGAAATATCAGGATGTGAAAAAATTAGTCGTATAGACTTTCGGACCGTATGGATTAGACGATGTTTTTGAGGTCGAAAGAGTGTTAACTGGTAGTGAATAAGAATTTTCAATAAAACTTTCAGGGCAATACTTGCTTTCGCATTAAATCATGAATTTAAGGGTCAATTACAAGTCCGGCATAAGTATCGAGTATGATAATTCGCGGAGTATGCCGTAAACAATTCGCAGGAAGCGTTAAATGTGGTTTGCAGCGTCTATTTCTTGACAGTGACAAAGTATACACTGGAAATGTCTACCCGAAACAGTATATCCGGATTAAAGAACACTTATCTGCAGTCCACTGGATACAGTCGGATATTGCGTACCATGTCCTTTATGGGGAATTGTCCTTCAGTCGGGCGAATGCGTCGGTAGTCGCCAAGGACCAGTTAAGGATGGGTCATTTGATAAAGGAGCCCCTGCATATTTTGGCAATGAATACTCCTCCTCTGTTCTGATAAATGAAAGCTATGGCGTTATCACAAGCTTCATATAAAAGTTTAAAACAGAGTAACGAGTGACGGAAATTAAACCATAACTGTTAAAGTTATGAATATGCTGGTTCCAGTCTGTCTCTCACTTCAAATACCAGTGTGACATGATGCTGTGGAGTATGTGGCAAAAAGCATTAGCAATAAAATGCCAACAACATCTGTGTTGCGTAACGCCACCAACCATTAACCAACATACCTTGTATAATTTCATCAAAGGGCCCAGACTCGAACATGTTGTCATATAACTTCTTTCAGTCCTCCAGCCGATTCGATGACTTTAATTTGATGAGAGCATTTTCATTAAAAGGAAGCGTCAAATTTCATGTTTGCAAGTACCCATAGTAGTAGAAAAGTTTCTTTGGCAACCACTATATAAGGCAGCAGCGACACTGCCCTATCAGACAGAAAGAAAGAGAGGAAAATCAGCAACCGTTAAAATATCGGTCTCCCTTATGATCTGTGAATCAATGCCATCTATGATACCTGTCTTTCATGGAGCAAATGGTGAGGCCATGATTTCCGTTGACATGTGATCATCTAATGGTGTTCTGCTGTTGCTTACTAAAGACATATTTATTGCCACGTGATCGCAACACAGTGTAGTCTTGTCTCCTTCCCTCAAGGCATGGTACTCCTTGTCTACCTCAGAAGGATGAAAGACAAGTGAATAGGCTAGAGACCAAACTCTCCAGCTCTCTACTGTTGATCTGACGGCCTACTGACTGGTAGACTAGGGCCTGGCAAGAAAATAATGTTACATTTCATCATTAGTTTAGCATTATAACATCAGGCATCTTATATGAATCCATTATACAAGTAGTTACCAAAGAAATCTCCGGAACAGTGACACTGTAGGGTTATCAGAAAATTACGAAACAAATGAAAAAGCTCATGAAGAAACGAAAAGAGATGAATACAGTAACAGATCAGAAATCAAAGATCGAAAACGCAGAACTTAAAAAGAACTTTAAGGAACAGATAAAAAACGTCCACGCATCCCACTACAAGTTGGTAGAGGAAGCGAATCAGAATAATCGACGAGTTAAGAAATCGAGACAACGGTATGCGGTCAGAAAACGACAAATCTTGGCTTTCAAAATGGGAGGTTCAAACTGAATTGAAGATTTCGGTAGAAACTTTCCAAAGATGGAAACAACAGCACCATGGGTGACGAATACGAAACTGAAGATATTAACGTTGACGAAATCGCAGATATCTTGCCAGAAGAAGAACGACGGGCAATGAAACCATCAAGGCATACAGTGGAACTCGTGCAATTAGGAGTGGAGCACTTGTTTTCACGTTGCTTGCATAAACTGAAAAACTGGATACCTTAGACCATAGGACTACCGCATCGGTGATTTTACCCCACAAAAGGGAGAGGGAGAATTTGGAGGGCCACAGGCCGATAAGTTTATAGTCAATCTCTACAAGGCCCTACGAACGCATTGATGAAAAGACTTCAAGAAAAACCAGACACTGCACAGCTAAAGGAGTCAGCAGCATTCAGAACTGAATTGTATTCTTTGCTTTAGCTTCATTTGAAAATTTTTCGATAGATCATCTCCGTGTGGTACAAAAAGTAATTCAAACAAACAACGAATATCACTTTCCTATCTGACTGTGGTTCATCGATTTGAAGAAGAATTTTCACTCAGTCTGCATCCGTTCTGTACTAGATTCTTTGACAAGTCAAAGAATAGAAAAAAACATAAATAAACATGATCACCGTGATTTACGAGAACACAACTGCCAGGTGTGAAGTTTCATGCAACCTCAGCGAAGTTTAAAATTGGAAACGACATCTGACAGAGACGCAGAACCAGCAAAGTCATTTGCATCAACCCTGTTTGAAGAGATTTTCCAGAAACTCCGGGATATATTTTCATCTTCTCATGATCACCAGAAGAACTCAAACAAAAAATGCCAGAAGCGAACAACACCAGCATGAAACTAGGACAAAATATAAACCTGGAAAATACTCAGGTCATGCTAGACAAATACCTGACCTGTTTAAGACAACGGACTTAGGCCCGAAGAGGTGCGAAACGACGTGTATTTCAGAGAGCTTTTTTCTGGAACGGAGAATCGACTATGACAAATCATAGAAGACTAAACTTGGCATATACTGCTTTTGAAAGACTGAAAATCTTCCCAACCGGGACAAAGCATTTGCACTTTAAACGAAGTTCTCGATCAGTATGTTTTCACAGTGCGAAACACGAACCATAAACCTGAAGGCTCAACATAAACTGCAGTCTATACAACGCACCATGGAAAGGTGTGTTGAGAATAACTGTAAAAGATATGAGGGCAAGTGAACGAAGAACTCAAGCAAGTTTGCAATGCCATTGCGAAAGAGGAGAAGTTAAAGTGACAGTGGACTGAACACACTTCAGGAAGAACCGATCATGACTGAACCACACATTAGACTGGGTTCTAAATGGGTTGTTCAACTTCTCCAATTGCTTCACTGCCTCTCCGTTAATCTGAAGAGAGCAACGGGCAGGAGAACGAGAAAGCACTAGGTTTTTCGTTTTA